CTGGCTGGAGAATTCTGGGAGTTGAAGTCCACAAGTCTTAAAGTTGCCAAGGTTGGAGACCTCTGCTCTACAGGGCTGTGGTGTGGTTTTATGGAAGTGGCTTACAAAATCATTTGGATGAATCATAATTCTTTAGTGGGAACCAAATGTCAACATAGGGTTGCATAATAATATTTGACCATATATGAATGGGAAAATTGTGTTTCAATAGAAGATAAATATGAGAATGTTCTAAAATTATGTTAAAAGTATAAGCTTCTTTAGTAGTTTCAGAAAGGACTGTACAATAAGAAACATTATTCCTGATGCATAGTGAATTATTGAGAAAGCCAAAGAATACTACAAAGAAGTCAATATATGCTACATGGAATATAGAGAGGTCTTGACTGTGTCAACTATATCAGGCTGTGAGATATGCTTAAGAAAAGGGGAATGCCAAAACGGTCTGATTGTGAAGCATATCCACAGGTCAGGAAAGTCCAATTTGGATAGGACATGGTTCAACAGACTGGCTCAGTCTTTTGCAAGTCAGTAAAGGAATAAGACAAGACTTTATATTCTCCCCTTATTTATTTAATCTAAATGCTGAATATATATTTAGAAAATATGGATTAGAAGATAAGGGTATTTTTTTAATGGAGAAAGAATAATCAATAATCTGCACAATATTGATGACAGTAATTGAAAATGTAAACCATCTGCTGTAATAGAAACCAAAGAATACAGTTTTAAAAATGACATTAAATATAGAATAGAATAAAATAACAGAGTTGGAAGGGATCTTGGAGGTCTTCTAGTCCAACCCCCTGCTCAGGCAGGAAACCCTTTTAGATAAATGGTTGTCCAATCTCTTCTTTAAAACTTCCACTGTTGGAGAATTCACAACTTCTGGAGGCAAGTTGTTCCACTGGGTAATTGTTCTGTCAGGAAATTTCTTCTTAGTTCTAGGTTGCTTCTCTCCTTGATTAGTTTCCATCCATTGCTTCTTTTCCTGCCCGTACATGATTTGGAGAATAGCTTTGACTCCCTCTTCTTTGTGGCAACCCCTGAGATATCAGAACACTCTATCATGCCTCCCTTAGTCCTTTTCATTAAACTAGACATATCCAATTCCAGCAACCGTTCTTTAGCATCCAGCCCCCCAAGACCAAACTAACGACAACAGGTACAGCAAACCTTTGAATTGACAGTGGAGATACTGAATTGGTGATTGTGCCTTTTAGAATAAACTATCATCAGGATGCACAGTCAATTAATAAATATGCTACTATATAGACTATGACTTAGTAAATTAGCAATGAAGACCTTAGAAAATATATTCAGATGACAAGATGACTCTATACCTGCAAAGGTCAGAATCAAGCACACATTTTTTGGGTGACACTTTAAGAAAATAAAAGCTAGAGTTTGAAGAAATAGGCTAGAAAGAGGATTGATGCCTTGAACCTTGATGTTGGAGAAGACTTCTAAGAATACCAAGAACAGCCAAGAAAACAATTACATGAATCATAGAACAAAAAAGAGTTTTAACTTGAGCAAATTAGCAGATTCAAATGATCAGATTTAGTAGATATACAAAGATCTAGGTCTCTGGTATAGGTGGAAGGGAAGAGAAAAGAGGGATTACTAGCAGAAAGGTGGATGGACTCGGTCACAGCCTCATCAGAAGCTCTAAGGATCCAACTGATGACAGATGTGCAGAATATATCTACATAGTTGGTAAGCCTAGACACCAACTGTACAGCACATAATCATTAGTCAATGAACTTATTCCTTTTTTTAAAACGTCACATTAGAGACGTAAACACTTTTTACAAACATCTGAAGTAAAGAAAAATGAAGTCGTTTTAATAGAAAATCACATTTTGTCTTAAATTATGTATGCAGCAACCACCTTTTTAATTTTTATTGACTGTATTTAAATCCAGTGACGTTAATGAATTGATTGATACATAATACCGAATAACTAGGTTATAGTAACTAGAGAATATATTTCCCTCCATGAAAGTTGCTAAGACAGCAATAATAAGTTCTTATGCCTAGATATGCAGTAAGATAAACATTTAGTTCTCTGTTTTTTAACCATGATGTTCGTATTCTGCCTATATTGTAATAGTGCATTTGTAAACAATGCATTCATAAGTTCAAAGCCAGTCTCTGAACCCCCTTGGTTGTTTTAAAAGATCAGTCATGCTATGCAGATTTTTGCATTAATGCAGTTATGAAAATATGAAAATATGGCTGTGTGGATGATGTAAACAATGTCCAAACAACCTCTAAATTAAATTCATGTGTGTTGATGGGAGCTAAATAAATGTAAGGGGGAAAAATTTCTCAGAAGAAAGATAAATAATAGAAGGATTCCAAATTGGTATATCCATTTTATTTTACCTACATCCTGCTTCTGGTGCCAAAAGAAATAACTTAAGAGCCAAAATAGCATAATCACAGGTGTGGAAGGCTTAAAAAAGAAAGGGTGAAACAGAGTTCCAGATTGTTCTTCATGATTTCAGGGCATTCTGACACCACAGCTGACAAGGCTTCTTTCTTCATTTTTAATTTTTCCTTTTCATTTCCTTTTCCCTCCATGCCTAGTTGTGCACCTGCTAGCTAGGCCATATGCAACTTTTATTTTGTAAAATGGGAAGGTGGGGGAGAGAAATACTATAATCAATCATGTAATAGTAAAGGTTTGTGGTAGGAATTCTCTGTGCTCAGATACTTTTATTACCCATATCTAACGGAGAATTATTAAATAAATTAATTGGGCAAATGGATATCTGTAAGTTTGGACGAGACTACTTACTTAATTAGTCTATATTTTGTGCTTCCTGACAAAAGCATTTTTCCTAACTCTGCCATGTATATTTGCAAACATTTGAATGGTAACAACATGAAAAGCCATCATAGCTAAATCTAAATCAGTTAATGTCAATTCCCA